GTCCTTTAACTTTCAAATATCTACATGAATAAGTTCTCTTTTCAGTAAAATCTCATTTATAATTATTGAGCCTGAAAGCTAATATGTATTACATAAAGAATTTTTTTTCTTTTAAAAGGCCTTTATTTTTCAGATCAGTTTTAGTTTTACAGTAAAATTGAGTAGACCGTATAGAGATTTCTCTTGTACCCTTTGCCCTCACACATATATATCAGCACCCCTTTCCCCCCCTCTCTATATCAGCACCCCTTACCCCCCATTGGGACATTTGTTACAGTTGATAAACCTGTATTGTCACATTCACTATACGCAGTATAATCTAAAGATTATATTGGGGTTCACTTTTTCTGTTTACAGTCTGTGGGTTTGAACAAATGTAAAATTACATGTATCTCTCCTATAGTATCAGATAGCGTAAACTTGCATTGCTCTAAAAATCCTCTGTATCCTACTGGTTATCCCGCTCTCCTAACTCCCGGCACCAATGATCTTTTTAGTGTCTTAATAGTGTTTTCCAGAATATAATAGCTGCAGTCATATAGCTATAATTAGCTTCTTTCACTGAATAATACACATAGATATTTCCTCCATGTCTTTTCAGGGGTCAAGAGCCCATTACTTTTTAGTGCTGTGTAATATTCCATTATCTGATACATCACAGTTTGCTTGTCCAGTTACCTAATAAAAGACATCTTGGTTATTTCCAAGTTTTGGCAATTCTAAACATCTAGGTATAGGTTTTGTGTGGACCTATTTGTCAGTTTCTTTGAGTAAATAATGCGGCATGTGGTCACAGAATTATATGGGAATGGTATGTTAAGTTTTTTTTTTTTATTTTTTTTTAAGATTTATTTATTTATTCATATAGAACTGGGGTACAGGCCAGAGATGCTGAGGGTGAGAGGATTCACCAGAGACAGAGTGGGGGGCAGAACAGGCAGATCGACGAAGTACACTGCTGAGGGGAGCAGCGGGCGGGTCAGGAGAGGTCTGCCACGCCATGTGGTCACCTCCGGGGCAGGCGGGAATCGAACTCATGCGGAAGTGGCTTAAGCTTCTTAGTGTAGTGCTTTAACCCGCTGCGCCACCAGGGAGGGCCCCAATGTTAAGTTTTTACAAGTAACTGTTAAACTCTTTTCAAAAATGTCTACCATTTTTCATTTCTACCAAATGTACATACTTGTTCCAAAATGTTGTTAGCATTTGTTATTATTAGTATTTTGTATTTGGGCTATTGTAATGGTATTCAGTGATTTACAAATATATACATATATATATTTATATGCACATATACATTATTAAACATATATTTAAATATAACTTATTAAGATATTTTCTGTTCAAATTACATTTATATTTGCATAAGTTGCATGATCTATGAATTTTATCTAGGCTAGTAAATGAAGATACTACAAATCATTTGCAAAAATATTGGGTCTGACAGGGCTAAGTATACTGTCATACAGGGAATGGAGTATTGTCCCTTCCTGCCCTACCCTCTTCAGTGTGTTGGGGTGTCTTCCCTTAGGACACAGGAAGGCTACCACAGTTCTTGGCATGTCATACAAATATCATGGCATCTATAAAAGGGCCAGATTGATTTAAGGTTTCAAAGATTTCTCTAATAGAGTGCTGCATGCTGCTACTGAGAACATACTGTAATCATTACTCAACTTAAATATACACAGAAGGGTACTACTTAATGTGATCTAGGAAAAGCTGTAAATTCAAGATTTAATCTTAAGAGTTGGTCTATTCCTCTTCCCTAAAAGGGATGGAGAATCTAATTCAAGAGTACAGAAATCATGCAAATGCTGTTCAGGCAATTGTCTACCTCCCAGAAGGAAAGGAATTAGCTTTAAAAAATTTGCTAACATATACTTACTATGCTAGCTTGAAGCAGTGTTATTGAATAAATCAGCCTGTTTTATTTTCTCATCGTGAACAAATTTTTTCTAAGAAATTCAGTTTTACAGCTTAGTGAACATTTTAGCTCTACTAAACCCAATTTGTCATAATAATCTGCTTTCTTTACATGAAAATATAAGGGAACTGAAATTTATCTTAAAGAGATTAGTGTTATAGAGCCGAGTTTCAGGATAGCTCCTCAACCAAGGTTCACAAGTGTAAAAGCCTGTAGGGGCCAGGTGGTAACTGAATGAGTGAATTGGGCCCCCTGCAAGGGACTGTGGCCAAGTGGAAAGCACATGTTTATGTATGAGTAGAGGCCAACACCCAGCTCTCATCAATAATTGTCATGTTGGAATTGGCCCCAGAGTTGCCAGATCTTTTGACTTTTAAGAAAGAAAAACTCAATGTCTACTTTACTTGTGAAATTCCTGGTATTTAAATGTTGACCTAGTTTAAATAACAAGGCAACACTTAATGTGAGCCAAACAAAATATTTGTGTGGGATAGTCTTGTTCTATGAATTGCCATTTACAACTTCTCAGGGGTCCCATCTATTTACACAGCGGAATGCTATCACTGACCCCTGTGGACTCCATGGGCTGAGAGGGTGACTCTCTTTGTAAAAGCAGGAGTACCTCAAGCTGAATGGACTTGAACTTTACTCACTTATCAGCTGTGGTGTGTTAGCTAACTGCTACGTAAAAGAGAGTCCTTACAGATTAATCTCTAGGTTGGTCCTCCGTGTTTAAACATGGAGAACACAGGATGGTAGATGGGGAAAAAATCTCAAAGATGGTATGAATCTGGGGTCCCATGCACCTCCATCATTGCTCAGACAGAGCACAGATGTATACATACATGCTGATATTCTATGCGAGTCTATCAATACATATATTGCCACACTGTTTCAAAGTTTGACCCAGTAGACCTCTAACTAAGAGCCCTTGTACCTGCTCCCCAGTGTCTATGATTGTTTTTACAGGGTGGTTAAGCTTCTCTACCATACCCTGCCCCGAATATCTATCTGACTGAGCTCTAAACTCTTCCCTTGCACCACCGGATTCAACTCCTGTAAAATTTTGTCATTATAATCAGGTATCGAAACATTAATCTACCAAATAAAATCCTTCAAAACTAGAGAAAGGGTACTTATGCATAATATTACTGCTTCAGGAAATAACAGTCTCTTGAAATACTAAAATTAAAAATTAGTACTGGAATATATTAAAAAGAACACTTTGTTGAAGCATCATCTATTCTGTGTCTTTACTTTCAAATTGAACTTGGAGCCTATAAGAACAAAACATAAAGTGAATTCCACTCGTTTAGGAGAAGTTGGCGACAGTGTGTTGCCTGCAAAAATCTCTGGGGGACAGATATACTTGAAATGGTTATTACATAGACCAGGATGTATGTTTAGTCCAATTAAAAATAAAAGTCAGCAACTATTTTCAAATTCTACTTCAAGAGCAGACTTACTTAGAAAACAATGAATCACTGAATACAGATCATTCTCAGGCAGACCAGATAATAACAGAATTTGTATGAAAAATGCCTAGTACTATTTAGTGCTTGCCTTTGGGGTCTTAGATAAGCCACTAAACTATCTTCAAACCTTTCCTCATCCATAGAGGTATCTATCTCATTATATGAAGGGTGACAGGAGGGTTAAATGAGAACATTATGTATTATTATTTATTTATTCAGTGACCTATTCAAGATCAAAACTTAAGATCTTCAAATTCTAGTTCACTACTGCTAAATTGTTAAAGTTTTTATTTTTTGGTTGAAGGAGTCAGAATAATAAATAAAGGCTTTGCAGCCTAAGGACAAGTGATATTTTGGTTTAACGATGTTCATATAACATTTTATAGTCATCTTTTGTCAGCATCATTAAGTTTGTGTTTCTCTCCACAAACTTAATCTCTAGGAATAGGGAAAATTCATATAACTAAAGATTTTAACTGCACATTTTTGAAATGAAACGTTCTTGGTTGAGAAATACTTATCATTCTCTTAATAAGTATCTCCCTTACATCACTTCGCTATGGGATGGTGTTACAAGCTTGGTGCTTTATAAATACTGAACAAACTTTATATAAGAAGCTTTTTTAAAAAGTAAAAGTTCTGGAAGATAGGAGGTACGGAACGTCATTAGTTTATTAGGTAACATGCTGACATGTTTGATTACTGATATTCTAAAACGATTAGGTTATTCTTGGGGTTAAACGTTTACTTTCATTTAAAACCTGAAGGAAGCTATAGAGAAAAAAGATTTAAAACCTAAAGAAAGCTATAGAGAAAAAGATTATCCATGACTAACGCTGACCTGTCTAGACTTTACAGTACCTCTTTACCCTTAAGTGTTTCTGATTGGTTACTTAAAAAAATAAAAAAAAAGATTGTGATATTAGAGATAAACAAATGAGCATAATATGAACATATTTCAAATTCTGTATCCCTTCATCCTCATTACGAACTCAGTTTTATTTGTTTGCATATTTTTCAGAAAGTATAATAATTTATTGATATTTGAGCTCAGTGTAAGCAAACTTGGATTATTTGTATTTATTCCTCCTAAAATCATGTAGTTGCTTTTATTTGCTGATTATGGTATGCTGTTACCAAGTCTATGAGAAACCTCTCTGTGAAGTACATTTTAATATTTAGATCAAACAGCGACTGGAATACATTAATGCCCAGTGGGTAAGTGTGTCATTTGAAAGCAGCTGCTGAGCCTTCTCCCTGCTGCTCCAATTAACACATACAGCACACTTTTGTCAGCAAGAGGCTGTGCATATGGATGAAACCACTTTACTACTCATCAATATGATATGCAAGAGAGCACAAAGAGTAAATCAGTCTGCCCACTGCAAAACAACAGCTTTCCTAGAAGTTTCCCAAACACGTGCTTTCTGATAAAGGGTGCTGGAAATAGGGGGTGGGATTAGCAGGTAAAATCGTGGACTCAGTCTCTAGCATTGGTTCAGTCCATTGACTAAACATGTGTCTCCGCCTCTCTCTTCTACACCCCCGCCCCTAGTGATGGAGAGTGAAATTCTAGCCCTGGGACGCCTCTTGCCTCCGCTGAATCTCTTGGCCAACTTTGTTCTGTTTTGCTTTTAAGCTCTTTGAAGTTCAAAGCTTGCAGTTTATTATTTTATTTTCCTTAGCCTTTTATTATCATTGCACTTTCTCCTTCCCTTTTTTCTTGCACATTTGACTGTTTATTGAACTATATGAAAAATCTTGTCAAGATAGCCCCCCATGGCTGGTCTGTTTTTCCCTCCCAGGGCTAATACCTCTGCGTGCATGGTAGCCCAGAGGAGGACGGGAGGGTAGCCTGTTCGACCCGGAGGTTTGGTGCTGGGTATTCATGCTCCACCGGCTCCCCTGGCAGCTGGGCTGTTGCTCCAAGGTGCTACTGGCTGAGCCAGGCAGCACCGAGAGTGAGAGATGGACCGCTTCCTGGGTTTTGTCAAGCAGATAAGAAGATCTAGGAGAAGAAAGGGGAAAAAGTATCGACCAGAAGAGGATTACCACGAGGGCTATGAGGATGTCTATTACTACGCGTCAGAGCATTTTCGAAGTAAGCGCTTCCCTCCACCCTTTCTTCTTCTCCCATGCTGGGGTTAACAAAAAGCCCGTGTGGAGCTTTAATCTTAAATGCAAAAGGTTTCCCAGATGGTGTGTTCTGTGAATAGTCTGTAAGTACTGAATGCTACATTTTGTTTGTTGTGTTGCAAGAATAACTATCAGATAGTATCTAGATAACAGAAGCAGCAGAGGTCTGTGGTTAAATTTTTAAGTGCCAGTAGTTGATTAGGTTGTCATTTTAGTGAGCTGTTGGAAGAAGTATCTTAAACTAGTGTAGGAGGTGGCTAGAATATGCTCTGTTGTTATGTGTAAAGAGCTGGCTTACCCCACCTCACCCCTTGCCTAGTAGGGACGGCAAGCTTCTTTGGAAGAAATGACTGTTCATGTTCAAGTTGATGCTATGATTAATGCTCCTGATACAGACTTCTGGACAGCTGTCTGTTATTAAGCAGAGGTGTTGTTTGTACAAGGAAGTTCAGATTCTTTTCTCTGAAGCAAGTCGGTAATTTTGTTATCAAAATGAGGAGACTCTTACTCCTTGTCAACTAGAAGCAGGAATACCTGTAGATTAAAACAATGCACACATATTGAAATACTTGTAAAAGTAGCTTATAAGTAGTAGAGAAGTAGAGATTTTCCTGTGCTTTGAGTTCCTGGTAAGGTCTAGACTTCTAGATTTAATGTCCAGAAATGTCTTAGGGAGCAAAGAGAAAGCAGTTACAGTAGGTGGAGGATACTGGGTTTTTTGAGGTACCCTAAATGGGAAAAACTGACAATTATATGATCTACATGTATAAAATCAAAATTATTTTATTTTCTTGAATAAAAATCTTTATGCACTTGTATTTCAAATCTGTTTTTTTCCTGGTTGTTTGGTATCTAACTGAATGTATTTCGTCAGAGAAGCACTGACAAATAAGTAATTTAGGCTCCATTTCTGTAGTACTGAAATGCCTGAGAATTAATTCTAACTGCCAGAAATTCTGTTGTAATTGATGAAAGTTAAAGGTTGGTAATTCAGTGGTGGAGCAAACACAATAATGCCAAATTATGTGGTTCTTTGCTATTTCACTGAGTAAGCTGGCTACCTTTCTTTACAGAGTAATCTGAGTCTTGGAGATGTTTCTCTATTTAATATTTTTACATGAATAATCTGCTTTAATATAGTGAGGCTTCTCCCCGCCCCCAATTTAGTTTCCAGAGTGTATTTTAAGAATTTAAGGTTTGTGTTACATCAAAAATTACTGTCAGCTTGCACATTTAATTCTGAAAACTCAGAGTGAAAATAAAGAATTTGGAATTTTTAATTACATTTTTCTTCATTACAGATTTCTTAGGAACAATAGAGAGAGGGAGTCAAATTCAAACTTTTTGGGTTTGTGTTGTGGTGTGTCTTTACAAGTAGAATTAATCTCTCTCAAATGCTTGCATCCTACTACTTTGGTATGAATTTGAAAGCAAAAGATATATATGCTTATGAAAGATGACTTCAAGAAGAAATATTTATAGATGTATATAAGAAATATCTTGAAATCAAAGTTAAGAGCTAGGTCTTTACATATCAGGTGCAATAATTTAATTAAAATACTGTTTTAACCTGTGAAATCAGAATTGGTCAAGGTTAGTCTGAAGATAAGTTGCTAAACATCAAAAGTCATTTGCTTTAGATATAAAGCTGACATGATTTCCCCTGTAATTTATTACAAGGCACCCATTATGAAACATATAACTTTGTGATCTGAAATGTATAGTGAATCTGTAGCTTCAGACTACTACATAATAAACAGAACGTGTCACAATGGACTCCGACCCTTGGGATTTGACATTTCATCCATTTTCAAATAGGGCTTTTTAAAAAAGACCTGTCATATAACATAGTGACCCCTTAAGTACATCTTTTGACTCCGGTTTCAGACACCCACTTTTGTTGAATTGGTGAAGAGACACACTTTTGTTTTATGGCTCTAGGAAAGTGTTAAAGAAGGAGACTTAACCTTAACACCAGTCTGCTCAAATGTATAATATGATTGAATACAATTATATCTATGGTGTATTTATTTTAATTGGTCTTTGCCATATTGAAATATGTATCCTGTGTTCCCTAGATTGCTTAGGATCAAAACTTAATGGAATTTACCAGAGAGTCTCCCATCTGAGTTAATGGTTCTTTTGATAAAGCAGAAGAGCTGTTCTTATTGTTCTTCCTATTGTCCTTATTTTTTTCTCTTGAAAGAAATTTAGCTCTCCCTCTTGTCAGTTTACCTAGTGGTTCAGATTACCACAAAAACTTTGTACATATAATAATGAAAGATTGGTTGCAAGGATCACACTCACTCTTTGATACATTCTGTATCAGTAAAATCTAACTGTATCTCTCTTCTTCGCAGAAAATTGTTCCCTCAGTACATTTTGGAGTGCTTACTGATGTTTAATTTTAAATAATGTCTCTTCTGTTGTAGATTCTGATTGAGAATTTCACTATCCTTTCCTTCAGTTTAAATACAGCACAGTTTATAATTTCAAATGCCAAAAGCCTGATTTAAAATGCCAGTGGGTCAGGTGCTATGAATGAAAAGCTATTCTAAAAAGGGCATGATTTTTTTTTTACTGAAACTCCCTCAAAACTGAGTTTATGGTAATATGAATAGATTTTAAATCTTTCCTGATTTTATATTGACTTGATGTAAAAGTCATTGTGCTTATGGGTGATTATATTTGATTTTTTAAAAAATCAATTTTCATCACTCCCCTGTCCTTTCAAAAGTTTAGACTTAGTGTTTAAACAAACTCAACAAATGCTTTGGCCAAAACACTAAACCTTATGTCCTAAATATGACTGGAGGTGACTTTATTTCTTAAGAATTTTCAAGTACTAAACCATATAATTATTTAAACTTTGCTTCATTTCTACAACAAATCAGGTAAAAGCATTTGCTGAGGCATGTTAGATGAGATGTAAGCCAAAAATTCACCTGATTGTTCCAAGGGAATTGTTTTTCTGATTGGAATTGTCAGTAGGGAGATTCCTGTTCCTATATAATAATAGTCTGTCATTGAATGTTAAGAAATTTTGGTAAACATTTTTTTCTCCAAACCTAGACCTTATCTTTTAGTTAATCTTGTCTACCAAAAAGGATCACGTGTTTTGTAATTTTACATGGATGATTCATTTGGTATTTTTCTTAAGAAAAACTTGCATTGACTACAGATATGGATTCATAAACTTGAAGGTAACAAAGTCTAGAAGAGGATACCGAAATTCCTTTTTATTATGTTTGGTGTTTTTTTCATTTATGGCTAAATACTATATGTAAAAAAATACCTTTTTAAAAAGGTTTGACACATCATATTTTGGTGAACTTGTCATACCAGAAAACAGACCTGTCGATCCTAATTTTTATGTGTACTTTTTCTTTAACCACCCTGAATCACATATTCAAGTTATGAAACAGAAAATATGCATTGTATAAGCATTCTATTAGCACAGTTCATAGCGATGACAGTCCTTCTCACCTTTCACAGTCCATGCAAGGGAAGGTATTGAATTACTTCAAAAGTAGGGATTTGTTTATCTCTTACGAATATGATAGGATTGTGAACCACTTTCTCTGTGGCCCTGACACCTTTAGCACCTAAGTGATGGTGTCGAAGCAGGAAGGGAGCTGCTCCATGGTAACTTCTCTTTTTGATTTTATCCTGACTCAACTGGCTGGAAAAACACTGTGTGGGGTTGTCACACCAGGTGGGCCTTAGTGTCCAGTTCTCCTTGCCTTCTAGGGTAATAACAGGGGAACCAGAGAAGGGAGGAACATGGAGAATATCATATGTATTTACAAATGATCTTGTTGCTTGCCCTTTCTAATAGAATTTTGCATATAAAAACAACATTAGCTATGCTACTTGATTAAGCAATGCCTGCATCTGCAATCCCTAGGTAGGCAATTCAGACTTTCAAGTGCCTTAGATATTTACACATTGCATTGTAGAAGGGGTGCTTACTTTCTTTTTATTTCATTGAAAAAATGCCCTGCATTGCTCTTAGAGAAAAATAAAATGGTGCATGTTTGTAGTGTGAAATTTTTTTGGCATCATTATGTGTAATTAATACAAGTAATTTCCCCTTTAACTTGATTTTTTGGTGTGAATTCATGTAACCATTTTCTCTGCTTCTAGGAATTGATATCTGAATTAGAATTCTCTCTCAATAAGGATGTCAAAATGATAAGAGTGTAACTTTTAAATATACTTTGGAAAGATGACTGATTCCTGCTTTTAGGAGGGCAAAAGTGGCTCACATACAAGAAGGGCTATTGCCTTCCTCAGTCTTTGGGGAGGTGAATGGGGGAGGGGCGGTGAGGGAGGGAAGAAGTGAAGAAAAAAGAGAAAAACAGTTCATGGGCTTACCTTAACTTCTCTAAGGTTGACAGGTATAAAAGCCATTTTTTTCCCAAGTTAAAAACATGGACTCATCAAAGTAGATGTGTGATATTGGATGATTCAAAGCTTAGCTGCACTTTGTTTGACTCAAGAAATCCCAAATTAGAACATCAATTATGTAGCAATAGGGCACACTTGCTTGGTTAAGGTTGTCCTTTTCTTTCCTGAGAATGGCTTTGCATTTCTATTGTAGTTAGTTGATTTGTTGACTATCAAGTGGCTACCTAGTTCTATTTGTCTAGGGTATTTTGTATCAACTTCATTATTTCAAATTAATTTGTTTTTCCCACATGGAATAAATAACAGGAATATTAAAGTTGAAAATGACCTTTAATCTGCTTTGTTCAGCCGAGGTGTTTTTTTTTTTTTTTTTTTTCAGATGAATATACTGAGAGACTTACTGAGAGACTTCAGACTTATCACTGCTAGCAAAAGTGAGGCTAGAAAGAATGCCTAGGGGTCTGGTTCTCCATCCATTCCATACTCATTTCACAGTTCTCATGTAACTCTTCTCCTGATATTTAAAGACCAGAATTCACCTATATAAGAATGAAA